TCCGTTTATAATTTTTTTTTACAAATTATACTAAATATGACCGGTCATACATTCTTGATTGAAGTATGACCGGTCAGACGCAATGTAATTAGTAAGAGTTTGTAAACAAAAAATTTATAAATATAACTTTCTCCGAAAGAAAAAATGAAATAGCTTTTAGCTAGGTTGCATGTGTTGAAGAGTATACTGTTATTCAAGTGTTTGAACTTTGCTGTATCCAAAGAAAAAAAAGTGTTTGAACTTTGAATCTTTTTAGTTTTTAAACTTTGTTTTATTTTTTATCTCATCTTCATAACAATTTGCAACAAATCATGTACTTTCTAGCTATATATTAATATATACATATGAGCCATAGAAAACTCCTGCTGTATCTTGGCTACAATATGTGGAGAAGGGCTTAGACGAAGATGTGAACAGTATTTCATCAACATATATAATTAAAAGTTGAACTGCTATCATTGTTTTAGTGAAAATATAAGGTCTACTTTCGATGAAACCAATGCGAAGAAGAAATTATTGGAAACAATGGAACCAAACATGCTTGAAACCAAATAGAGCTTTTGAAGCTGGAACAGTGATCAAAATGTCACGTTTTATCAAAAAATTTACCCAAATGCCACGCGAATAGTATCTTTTACCATATTGCCACGTGTCATAATTCGCTACCACTGGTAGCGAATTTCGTGGTCAATAATTTCGTGACACGTTGTCATATTGCAGACCAAATTCGCTACCAGTGGTAACGAATTATGACACGTCAGCCTTTTCCTACGAAAGTGTGCCACGTGTCAAAAAATCATTCGCGAACATAATATGTTACACAGGGTAGTGAATTACTACCTGCTTGACACATGTCATTTTTACTGACTGTGCATTCTGACGTGGCATAATTCGCTACACAGCGTAGCGAATTATCCCACGTGGCATATTCTGAAAAAATTTACTGTTGACGTGACACTCTGATAATTTTTTTGACCAGTCGTGGCAAAATGGTCACTGTTCCTTTGAAGCTTGCACACGTGATATGGATACATACTTACATTTATAATAATTATGATTCTTTTCATACATGTATATGTATATATATATATATATACCAAAGATTAAATTCATTTGCTTCAATACCTGTTATATGGGAGGAGGGCTTCGCTATATATCCTTACAGTTCAAAAAGGGGTCTTAGCTAAGTAAATTACCAAATTCGCTGGTTAAGTTGTAGACTTTGAAATGAGGTTATAATTTATATCTAATAAAAATAATCAATGATAAGATTTAAATCCATTTCGACCCAATTAATAACGTTAATGCCTAGACAGTTTACAATGATCAATGTAATAACTCATTTTTAAAGAATAGATAGGGGCCACTCTGAGATATGGTTGCTATGTTGCTACAACTACAAGTCCTGGTTAATACAAGATATGTAGCAGAAGCATCTTTGCTAGGTGAACATCACAACATATATATAAAACCAACTACTCGCAGCTAACCTATATTCAAACAGTGTTAATTAAAGCAAAATGTCCCTCTCCAACCGAGCATGTGTTTCCCATGGCTTCGACATGTGCATGACATTCACAGCATTACCCCACTGAGTCACACGTGATCCTACTTGTCCCCTTCCACATCACTGGATCGCATTGTTCTTACACCTTCACACTTGGAAATATATATATATAGGGGCAGGATATTCTTACACCGGTGTAAGAGTTAGAAGTCTTACACTCAATCTTGACCATTGATCAACTTGTATCCAATGGCTTAGTTTACTAAAAAATTAGAGCCCTTAGATATAAGTGAGATAAACGGACAAGATTGAGAGTGTAACTTATACTGGTGCAAAAATGATTCTGTCCCATATATATATATATATATATATATATATATATATATATATATATATATATATATATACTAAGTTATTTAAAAAATAATTAAATTATTTATACTAAGTTATAATAGCGTTTATTTGTTTTAATCAGTTAAAATATTTTTGGGCTGTGTGCGTTTTTAAGTTCATTGGATACCATAGTTTATAAGCTTGGAAATGTGTATTAAACTAAAATGCCGAAATGGTCCGTTTCTTCAACTATCCACTAACAGAAATGGTCTACATGGGCCTCGTTTCAGACTAGCCCGTTCGATTCATTTGAGGGATTTTCGTTTTTGGGCTTTGGCCTATCGCCCAAAATACATTATTCTTTACATTAATTTTTGTCCCTTAAATTGTAATAGTTTTCTGTTGTCATAAATTTGTAGATAAAAAGAAAACGTTATCCACAAATTGTAAATATGTTGTCTTATCAGGAACATATACTAATACCACGAGGTGTTTTCATTCGAAATGGTAATATGATACGTAAAACCTTGGTTTCGAACAAGAATGATTTGGCAGGGACATAATATATTAATTCTAGACTTGCCCGAGATTAATTTTATAATCGGTTCAAATAATTAAAGTTTGTGAAAATATCTGGAGACACTGACCTCAAAGAGGTGGCAAGGATTGGTATAAAAAAAACAATAATTTTTTTTGGAAACAAATAACCATTTCCAATAAAACAACAATAAAATTTCCAAAAAAAAATACAATAAAATTTCCAAAAAAAAAAACAATAACTTTATTTTAAAAGTGTAATTGTTTGATAAAAATATTTATAAAAAATTAACACCGAATGGTTATAAAATAACTCATTCTCCTTAAATCAAATAGAATTTATTTGACCAGATACTCGAAAAAAAAAACCTTACTTATAAGATGAAAATATATAAAAAGAAAAAACTATCGCAACACTTTTTTTATCAGTTGAAGTACCATTATTTTTTTATTTTTTGGTAATCAAGTACCATTATTTTATATTTGAAAAACTGAGGCTTCTTTTAAAATACGTGGGTGACTGAAACAATTGTCCTCTAAACCTTCAATTTAGATGATTTAGTTGGTGGATGACAGTGAGGAGGAGGTGTCAAATTTGGCTCCAATGATAATTTAAACAATAACTCTCATTGTATAAGAAAAAGTAAATAAATAGACAAAAATATAAATCTCACAAAATGAATAATAAAATTGTGAGTAGGGTTTGACAAATTTATTTTTTTTACAAACTATACTATGTCTGACCGGTGATACTCTACTCAAAAATATATTACTGATCAGACATAATGTAGTCTGTAAATATAATTTTTTTCTAAAATTATTATGAACAAATTTCAAAATTTAGAAGATCCAAAAAAAGTTAATAACAAATAGAGAAATTAAAGAAATATTTCTTAATTATATTAATCATAATGCTATAATAATAAATCAAGAATTGAGCTTCCAATATTTTTAAGAGGATAAAAAATTCATTACTATCAAATAATTTATCTATAAAAAAAGGACTACATATATTCTAAAGGAAAAATATTTATCCTTTTAAATAACACAACTTACATTCTTTCACTCTCACAAAGAGGTAGCACCATACTTTTATTTTTTTTTGTCAACTCTCTCCTCCTTTATTTATCTCTTTCTCTCTCTTAAAATGATACTATTTTATATCTTTTAAAATGACAGACACTTTTATTTCTTAGTACCAATATTCATTCCTATTACTAATATAAAAAATTCTCTTTCATATAAACAATCTAGATATTGACATCTAGATATTGATGGTGGATTCAAATCTAATAATAGGATTCGGATTTCTTATGATGTTTTAAACTTTCTCTCCTAGTTATCATATTATGCACATACCACATATTACGGTGAACAGTGATTTGTCACTCACAAGTATCTTCTTCGTAGATATCTTCAAGGATCGAACAAAAAATAAAATAAAACAACAGTGATAACTTATCAGCCGTTTGATCAAAATCTAGGAAAGGGACCCAAATCCCAATACAATGAGGTAAACACAAAGCTTCAATACCCATTAGCATCAGGTGCATTCCTACCGTAGATCAAATATTATTTCCATCAGACGGCGTGGAAGCCCCCAAGGTCAACACTACAACTCACATCTGATTTCAATATTTCATCTCTCTCTCTCTCTCTCTCTGTGGAACATTGCTGGTTTTTCTTCATTTTATTGAGGAAAAATGGAAAATTTGAAGGAAAACAAACGGCACTGAGCTTCGAACCCTTCTTTCACATCAGTTATTCAACTCAATCAGGTGCAGATTTTCTTCTTCACGCCCCTCAATTTCAAAATATCTGAAAATATCATCAGCCCTTGATTTTTCAATTGGGGTTTCATGGTATTTGTGAATTTGGGTCTTTTTTTTTTTCTTTTAATAATTTGAGGAATCCTAAGTTGTTTTAAGATTTCGTATGTGAAAAGATTTGATAATTTTTTTTTCCGGGTAAGTGGTTGCCTAAGTGAGATAGATGAAATAACTTTTTGTCTTTAATTAGGTATTTCAAATTGAGATGGTGTGTTTGAACTTAGAATTTGGAATGTCTGGGTTTCTCTTTCTCGGGGACCCTTTTTATTTTTGTCATTGTTACTTAACTGTAAGCATAGATTTAGTTCCTATCCTATTGTCATGTTCATGGGTGATGCTATTGCTAGGTTCTTTCCAGCTTATATAATTAATGTATGCTGAACTCTCGCTCTTAATTCACTGCTTCAGACATTACATTTGAGAATTTTGGTAAAATTTCACCATAATATTGTATTATGAATTATGTTGTTAATAATAGCCTCATAGGCAGCGGCGGAACCAGGAATTGACATGAGGGGGGGCAGCGAACCCAGAAAATATTATTTATGTCCGTATATGCTGCCCCCGAAAAAAAAATTTAAAGAAAGTTTTAATACATTAAAAAACAAAAGGTGTTATAGCGAACATATATACTTCGTAAATTCTTTTGGACCATGCAGCCACTCTCCCAAGAAGATTGCCAACGTTATCTCCACATGTCAGATAATGAATGGTTGTTGGGATATTCTCATCAATCCTAAGTATCCTAGTTGACTCCTCTACCTTTGAAATTGTACCTCAACCTCTACCTTCACCTTCAACTGCGAGAGAGTTGAGATATTCGGGATCAACATTTGTTCCAAGCCAAATATGAAGAACACCAACCCTGAATCTACCTTCACTCTCTTCAAAAAAAAAATTTCCTTCAAATTTTTTTTTTTGGGGGGGGGGGGGGGGGGGGGGGAAGCCGCCACCCCCAGCCCCCCTAAATCCTCCTCTGCTCATAGGAACATTATCTTCTTTCTGTAATTATTGTAAAACGATCGCAGCAGCACTCTTGTAACTGCCTCACTATCTTATTATACCATTTGTTGTGCTTTCATTAGCTGGTTTTAATGATGATGAATCTTACCAATTGTGTGACCTCATAGGAATCATAGAGAAAGTTACTTTTATTTTCTTATTTCTTTCTACTTTCAAGATATTGCTTGTGTTGAAAACAGGCTATGCACAATAATAAGACTAATGTATAAAAGTAACTGCAGGTTGTTCCTTAAACAGGAAAAAAACTTGGTCCTTTACAATATGTGGTGCAACGTGCTGTAAGGATTTTGTTGCACGTCATTCAGCATATTAGAACAGATTAATGATCAGGAAGCAAACTAGAAGTTGTAGCTTGGAAACCTTGTTTCTACCAATCTATGTATTATTGTCTTCTTGCTTTGGTTGACTAATATAGATGGATGTTAGTAATCCGGAACGAAATAGCAACACCCAAACCGATCAATATCCTTTGCTGATGGAGCAGCTGGAAACCCACAATGTTCATCAGCACATAATTGATATTACAAGGAACACTGAAGCTTTATCCAGCTCATCTCATAATGATCAACATCCTGAAATACATCTACCCCAGAATGAAGATCAACTGACTGGCAGCACAGTAGTCCCCACTCATCAAATATCTTCATTTTCTGCTTCCAGATATAATTCTAGAAATTCCTCGTCGACCAGAAGAGGTGAGGGATATGGTCATCGCAGAAGGAGCCCACTAAATTCTGGACTATGGATTTCTGTTGAGCTTCTTGTCACTTTGAGTCAGATCATAGCTTCTATTGTAGTATTGTCACTATCCAGAAATGAAAATCCCCAAGCACCATTATTTGCGTGGATTGTGGGTTATGCATCTGGTTGTGTTGCCACACTTCCTATTCTTTACTGGAGGTATCGAAACCATAATCAAAGTACTGAACAAGATACTTCTCAACCATCTCAAGGATCCTCTGGAAGCGACCCTGCAGAACCCACTTCATATACTGCCATCTCTGTTGCTCATGTTACAGATGAAGACAATAGTCAAGCTACAGAATCAGCCATGAGAAGTGCCAGAATTCCTGGAGCCTTTAGTTCTAGGTATGCTTCCCCCTCCTATTTTTTTAATAAATTAGTTATGTACTAACCTTTTGTTATGATGGTTATGACTTCTTTTTTCCCTTGCGAGTCCATTTCTAAAATAAGATGCCTGATCTTTCACTGGAATATTATCTAACATGGAAGAAGAAAAATAGAAATTTCTGTTCCATATTTCCATCACAGCATGCTATATCCACATTACAGATGGTTTCTTTCTTGTCACTTTCTTTTTTCTGTCCTTTTTCTACATTCTTAGCTCTTAGTATTTGTATATTTTTGCACAAAGAAGATGAATATTTTGGTTATTTATTGAAATTCTAAAAATTTCTAGTCTTGAAATTCTTTATATTTTTAGCATATTTTTAGTTGTTACTTTTCTTCTGAGTTAGTATAAATATTAATATTCAAAATCACAATTATGAGTTTGAGCCATATGACAGGACCAGATTTTAGAATGGATTTGGATCTTGTACACTTAGTTCATTGGGTGAAACCTTTCCTGGAGTTATTTGGTTATATATATATCATCATCATTCGGATGATAGGCGGGGCTGCTGGGTTTACAAGTAGTTGTTTTGGGGGTGGGGAGAGAAAGGGGGGAGGGGGACAGCTGTTCGGAAAAATGATGTATTGTTCTCGACTAGAGCTAGACAGAACAAATCAAAAGGTCCTTGCAGGCAGAAACAATTAATAGGGTCAGATTCTTATCCCCCTATCCAAATAGAGGGATGAAGCCATCCCATGTTCTCACTTGTTTGTTACTAGTGTATATCATTTTGGTGAATATAGTTGTAGAATTTAGGTGACAAAGTCTTTCTTAATATTGTTTACCATGAAAATATTAGTGCTTTTTTTAATCTTTTCATTTGACAGCATTGTTAATCTCATATATCTGCCAAGCTATAACTTAGAATTTTATATTTATGATGACTTGTATAACGAGCTCAAATCAGATGAACCAAACCAAGTCAAACAATTTTGGGTTGATTCTAAGATATTCACTGAATGAATTCCATTCATTAAATCTATGCACTATCCGGGGTCACTCAGTTCAGTTCAAATTTGAGCCAAAACCATATTAATAGATGAACTGCTCTACTACACCTTCTGAGCTGCTTTCAATATATGGGACCTGTGGAGAAGGGGAAATCTGTCACAATTTGCAACACCTTGTTTCCTCCGAAGTTATTGTGGGTCAAATTCAAGATAATACAAAGCCCTTAGCTCCCTACACCCCACCCCTTTTTCTGATTTCATCCACGTTTAATCAATGTATTGCCCTAAGCAGTGAAAGAAAGTTGTTACTAAGGAGAACCATTGTGTGTGCTTATTTTAAATTTTTAATATTTCAGGACTGGGGAGAAGGGGAAAGTTGTCATATATGTCAAATTGATGCACCTTATTTCCTGCGTTATTGAATGTCATATTCAAGTTTATGTAAAACTCAAAACCTTTACCCCCTGTTTGCCTGATTCTATCCATATTTAATCAATGACTAGTGCTCTAAGCTGAGAAATTTGTTCATAAATATCAGGTTTAATGGATTAGTAGACCATTTCAAGATGGCCTTGGATTGCTTCTTTGCAGTTTGGTTTGTTGTAGGCAACGTATGGATCTTTGGAGGTCACACTTCTCCTTCTGATGCTCCGAAATTGTATAGGTACTGTCACTCAAAATATGTTGCACTACTAGTATTTCACTTTCCCATGTCTTCAGACTTCCAATATTATAGGCTTCCATATCTGCAGGCTATGTATAGTGTTTCTTACCTTTAGCTGCATTGGATATGCCATGCCATTTATACTCTGTGCAACAATTTGTTGCTGCCTACCTTGCATAATTTCTGTTTTGGGCATACGGGAGGATTTTTCTCAAAACAGGGGAGCCTCAGTAGAATCTATTAATGCTCTACCAATCTACAAGTTCAGATTGAAGGAAAATGAAAATGGTGGTGTTCAGGATGTCAACACAGCTGTAGATGAAGGTGGAGTCCTGGCTGCCGGGACAGAGAAGGAACGCGTGATATCAGGAGAAGATGCTGTAAGTTTTTAGTTGGCTATATGTTTGATAGAAAAAATACTTGAGGCAATGTTAGGTTAGGGTTCAATTTGTATTGACTTATCTTTTAATATTTAGTGAATTTGCAATCATAAGGTGGCAAACCATGCAAAATGTCTGGACCTCCATACCTTTCTTTGTAGCTTTTCGTATTATGACATGGCAAACCATGCAAAATCCTTTTCTGTAACGGTGGGAAAGATGTTAAAAATAATAATTACCTAGCCAATAAAAGTGTAAATGAAAACAATTTTACATTTAAGAATCTAAAATAAGTTTTCAAAGGGATTTGATTCTAAAGCTATTTCTATAATTGATGTGCCTTCACAGCGTGGAACTTGCCTTATCTTTAAACATAGGTTTGAGTAATGCACCCCAAAAGAAAATGGTTTGAGCATATTTGAATGTAATAGCCAATTTATTTCAATAGCTTTCTTAAATTCATTGCAGGTTTGTTGCATTTGCTTGGCAAAATATGTAGATGATGATGAGCTTCGGGAGTTACCCTGCTTTCATGTCTTTCACGTAGAGTGTATTGACAAATGGTTGAAGATAAATGCTTCCTGTCCTCTTTGTAAAAATGAAGTTGGTACAAGTGGTGGAGTGTCACCTTCAGCCACTGGCTCCACTCAGCCTTAGATGAAGAATGGGTGCCAAGTCAGCCAGTCATTGATGGTATGCAAGGTGCTAGTAATTGTTTTCCCCCAAGGTTTTTGCAGTTTTCATCTGTACATCAAATGTTTGGAGTCTGCTTTCAAGAGTGATTTATGTATATCATCTGAGACACAAGAGACATGCAATATTGGCACCTTTCAAGAATGTTCTGTAAAAATAGGCTGCATGTCCCATTTTAAAATCATTCTACAGTTAGCAGTTCTCCATGTGTATATATATTACATATATAACAAAATATAATGAAAATGTTGATTTGCGTTGAATTTAAAGTTTAAAATAAGTTGTTCGGAAATATTCCCCAGATTCTTCTTGAGAAAGTTATGCCATACAATTTTTTGCTGTGATTGAAGCCATATATTGCTATTATTATTGCTTGCAATTTATATAAGAAGTAATCAGTGTGACTAATCCTAGTACCTAAATTTTCTAGTCTTTCATAGCTTTTAGGAGCTATATAACATGGATGCTAACACTCTACACGTTCCTTTCCAAACATAAGATACACTGTTGACCACATTTTAACTTTTTTGAATGATCCAAAATTTTCAATTACCTTATTTCTAATTATTTTCTGCCCTCAAATATATCGGACGGCCTTGAAACCACATTATTTTATTCAACCTAGAAAACAATTAGCCATATTTCCTTTTTCTTGATAGTTCTGCTTTTTAAAATCAAATCCCATTTTTATAACCAAATTAAAGATGAGAAGCTGAACAAGCTTCAGAACTAGATCCCATTAAACAAGTACGATCATCTTAAACTTGGAATCATATCATCTCATGTTTCTCACTAATATGAAAGTCTTGTTATAAAAGACAAAAACATAATACCAAATGAGAATGTGCACAAAATATTTTTTTCTTTTAATAAAACCTCTAGGCCTACCCATGCTGAGCTTCGGGATAGAGAACCTAGAATATAAGGACAAACTCCGGCATAGCAGGCTCCTCCCGACTTTTTTAGAATAGGGATGAGAATAAAATCGATTATACACTGTCTAATTCTTACAATTTTACAAAAATAGTGTTTCCAGACTTAAACCCATGTTAAAGTTTTTTTTTTTTTTAATTATCTCAGCTCTGAAGTTCGCCATGGAACTAAGAATACGAAAAAGAAAAAAGAAAAAAACTGTCTAAGATCAACGTGTTTAAGTTCCACTGTCATTTCTACATGTCTAGCACTTACCAAGTGAGTTAACACCGAAATAAGAAATTGCTACAAGCCTACAAAGGATAAGAGAACGTTTGAACATCAAAACGCATTTCCCATACTAAGCATTTCTAATTTTCCCTGTTTATATGGTTTTATCAATTCTCCATTTCAACATGGTCTTTATCAACTATTTTTCTTTCGAGCTGGGCCCTTATCAACTATTAGAAGGCTATAATACAACAGTACTAAACTCCAATTTCACTTTATTTTTTTATTTTTTTACTAACTTCATCCAATAAGAAAGCTGTAATTTTGGTATCCAGTATCAAAATTTTCACATAATCTAATATGTATACACGATAAATAAGCCAATAAAAATAGGAAAGGTACAACATGCTCTCCCCATATTATGTTGGCTGGATGCAGGACCAGAAACCTAAAAAATGCTGTAGCTCTCCCAACGACCAAAATGATAATCTGAGACAAAGGTGCGAATCCCTGGAGCCCCGTCCACCATCTCTCGGGAAAAAAGGGCGAACAAATAAACAAAGTCAATCCTAAAACATAAGTGAAGTAAACTTATACACATTTGCAAACTGAATACATTTCACAGTTGGGAGAGGGAGAACTCTTGCAAAGAGAATACATCGGGGTGACGAGTGTAATTTGCCACAACCCGCACCAAAACTGTGACCCTTGTTGCTGCAAACTGCAACGAGTCGTTTCTGGGGGTATCAAATGCAGTTTGATTTACCAAGCATCCAAACTGCGTAACTTGCATGTCCGTTAGCCTCATGGATATATTCAACCTAGTCAGATACTGAGATCTTTCAATGACGACTCTAGTTTGCCATTTTGACTACCCACTGCATGGTTAGGACTCTCATTTTCTGTGTTCTTACATAACTGGTTGAAGACCGAGTTGAGAGAGGCAGAGCTGCGGCTTCCCTCAAAGTAAGTAGAATAAGGGAAGTACTCTGCACAACGTACTTTCCATCCTGCAAGAGTATAGAATTAATCTTGTGATGCACCGTTGCCAAAAGTGAAATAGAAATTAGAAAAGGTAATGACAAATGAAAAGAGAACTGCACAAATTAGGTAAAGATTTTAAAAAAAATTGGCACCAAAATTTCCTGATTTGGAATAACAAAACCCTGGAGAGTTAAATGCTATTTCAAACCTAAAACCTTGAAACTCTTTTCAAAATTTGAAGAATGGTTTTAAAGGCCATTGACCCCACCCCAGAACAGAGGCAAAGATTAAAAATAACTAGAACAACGTTTTAGCAAAAAAAATTCATCTCCTTTGTCCTTGTTCACTTCAGAGCAATCAGACATTTTTTAATCTCCAAGAGGCAGAAAACTTTGGCATAGGAAAATGAACCTAAATACACACTATTCTTGGAAACCATAAGCACCACCCATGGCAAATATCACACTAGAATTACAACATGCACTCCATAAGGCCAACCAACAGAAAAATTAATCAGGCAACCCAAAAGTCTCAGTTTTACTTACTCAATGCAGCATCCTGGTCAACGAGTACCGTTCCGAGAAGCTTGTGAACTGCAATACAGTCTTTAAGTTTCCAATCCCTGATTGGTCCGAGTGCTCCATTTCTAGCAGAACAAATTATTGGAAGATTCAATATTGCCATTAGATTTGAAAGCCAGAAATGAATCTAGAAGTGAAACATAGGGATTAAGGTTTTGAAGCACATGCACTGACACAACAAACTCCAAAATTAATAGGACAATATACATACACAGACAGCTAGGTGGCACACACTTTTTTTATTTTTTGTAATTCATCACACTTATTTTAATAAAAGATTTTTAAACATAATTTTGTTTGTATTTTGTAATGTTTTTCGCTAGTCAGGGTTTAATGGGTAATACATCTTTCATTTTTGCCTCTTGCCCCTAACTTCCATTTTGGTTTTACCTCCTCGGGGATAAAGAAAAACAGTCAGCAACCTTTTTAAAAGAATTAAAATTAGAAATAAGATAAGGGACTGATCATTATAGAAACCCACTTAGCACTCTGGGGAGAAACTGCTCTTCGAATTTACGTTCGTCCCCCCAAACAGGGTGGTTATATATCATACACTCACGATCTCAACTCTATCTGAGCAAAGGGATCGCTTGTCATTGATCCCTTTGTATTCTTTCCTATTTTCTCTCTATACTGTTAATTTCTCTCTATGAAACAATCAACCTAAGCCTTCTCTATATTAATGAGGTGAGCTAACCACGGCACACCCCACCAGTAGGGTGGGATGATGAATTCCTGCAAGCTTTCTCAAGTTAGATTATGTCAAGCTGTGTCTGAGCAGTAAAGAAAATGTTTTGTTAATCCAATAGTTAACAGACATGAGTCCCGACAGCATGCACATAAAGTGTAAGAAACACATTTGAGTAATACGCAGTAATGTGCTGTGCATGCTTAATAGCATAAGGCTTAAGATGTCATAAAGCATTACGTTGGCACAACTTTATTTGCTGACCCTTCAATCAACTTGACAGCCTCAGACTTTGTGTTTGAATCCAAAATGTACAAGATTTCTGCAAAAGCCGCTCTATGCATCAAAGAATCTGCAAACACAGAAACAACAACAACAACATCAACAACACCTTTATCCCAAATTAATTGGGGTCGGTGGTAGATGAACCCACATGAAAGATACAAAACGGTTGAAAAAAAAGTTAAAAAAAAATAAAAATAAAAAAAAGTAAAAAAAGTAAAAAAGTAAAAAAAGCCAAAAATAAATAAATTCATATACCAAAATAAAAAATAAGAAATTTCATAAAGATTTTTGAAATATGAGTTGCAATGTTGATGATAACGTTCACTGTGACCTTTATGTTTTTCAAGGAAAGAGCTGTTTGCCTCGTACAAAGATTTCTCATGCAGCTGACTGCAAAAAAAAGGAATAAACAGATAAAGTTAAAATTAAATCATAATCACAAAATGAATGCAAGAATTGTAGATACCAGCCTCCGAAAAACCAGAAAGGGAAAAAGTGAAAACAACTGCATCAAGAACCTAATAGTTGGGCGCTCGGCTTCTAAGACCCTCCAAATAAGTTTCTCGTTGTCAGTGTCAGGAGCATTCATGGATCCCACTTTATGAAAGAATTTAATCTGCAACATATGGACCAAAATAAATGCCAGCATAAAGAGGTTTTCCTTTCTTCTTTCTTTTTTGTGTGTGTTTGGTGGAGGGTGAGCTTGGAGCAGTGATAAGATAACTCCTTTGTGACTAGAAGGTCATGAATTCAAGTATCGGAAATAGCCTCTTTGCAAAAATGCAAGGGTATGACTGAATACAATCAACCCTCACCCCTATTCTCGCAAAGTTGGGGAGTTTTGTGCATCGGGGTCTGCCCTTTGTGTGTTTGATGGAGGAAAGAAGAAATCACAAGAATAAAGAGGACAATAATGAGAACAAAAATTGAATAACAGAACGGGCGCAGCTGGTACCAAATCCATAGGTATAATTTCTTTTGATTACCTAATCTTCCCTATGCTTTCCAAGTAATTCATGCTATGTACAAACACATTTAAAGTTTATTATTATTGCTTAAAAAGATGGCTTGTAGGAAATGGTGGAATTGATTTGTATTATAATTTTGATATGAAAAATATTATAAAAGTAAACTTACTAATCCCTATAACATGGAATTAATTTGTTCTTCAGAAGAGTCACCATACCAAGCAACGATGAGAATCAGGGTGTTCAGCATCCAACCTCAGTAACTGCTTTACAGCCTACAACTCAAGATACAGAAAGAAAAAAAAACACATTCAACCGGCGTCACAGTCTAAAATGTTTAAGAAGAAAGAAGTGCATTACACCTCACATGATATGCAAATAAAATTATTCAAATAATCAGAGCTACAACTGGCATTAACCATTGAGTCATAAAATAGAGCTCCCCCAAACACTTGTAATGTGCTTAAAAAAGCAAGGAAGGCATCCTCTCAACTGTTTACCTAAGTACAGGACTAACCAGACAACAACACTAAAAAATGAACAAAATGATGCCAGATAAATTTACTGGGCTCCTCATTTAACATAGAAATACCTGAAAGGCAAGCAAAATCTTCTCTTTCCTTGTATATAATTCAAAAGAGAGCAAGTGTGTCTCCAATGAATCAGGTGAATTCTTCTGCAGTAACTTCAAGTATTTAGTAGCTTCCAACAGTGGATCTTCAACCTAAGTAGGGAAAAACACACAAGAAACAGGACTAAATCAGTCCTAACAATTATAATCAGTATAGTATAACAAAAAAATCACAGATGAATGTTTAAAATGAATTTGTGCAGACACATTCTGACACTAAAATTGTTATGTTTGATAAACCTGACACTTTCAAGTATAATACTGATTTTAACAGTTTGTTAAATATGACATGCAGATAATTAAACAGTGAAAGTTGGTGTTTGTTCGATATAGCATGTAAACTAGTCAATTCTATATAATTTTTATTTGAAAGAAAAATGCTAAACCATAAATAAACCACAAAGAAAAATGCTATTTTAAAAAAAAACAAAAAAAAAATTACAGAGGAACACTGAGAATATTGTTATTCAAATTTACATAATGAATCTAAACCATATCAACCCATATATACCAAAAACTATGCAAGAGGGCTTGCAACACCATCCTCCTTAATCATATTGAGCTGGGAAAAAATATGTTTTCCCTGTATTGTGTATTTCTAAAACCTTTCACTTTTGATACCTATACTCTCATCAATCTCTCACTTGTACATAAGGTTTTCAGCCAAAATCCAAAATGCCAATATGCATGGTCACAACCAGCAGAATCGCAACCTCGTTACTCATCTACTACATGAACTCAAGGAAAAAAGCATATTTTGTTCACTAAATGAATATTTAAAATACAACCAAATTAGAGTCCCAAGGGAGCTAGATGCATTAAATTTAACCTGCAACAATTTCTCCCCGTGTGGATCAGGATCGACAGGTTTTACATTCCGTTTCCCAGACTTCGATACCCCGCTGGCACTTAACTCTTCATTCTTTTCTTCTGCCTCCTAAAAGCAAAATAAAACAATTGGATGAATACCTTTCCCGCATGAAGTTCCACAGAAGATATAGAAAAGACAACAATACTTTTTTAGCTCTTGCTTCTGCCTTTCTCTGTTTTTGTCTCATTTTCTTTTTCTGAGAAGGAAGCAACTTTGACATTTCATCATCTTCCTCCGCTGTAGACTTTGGGGGAGAATCATGCAACTTAATATAACATCTGAAGCTCAAAGTGTTACAAACATGAGACATAAATACAAAATCAGAAGTAAATTGCTTTACTTGTATTACTAATATTAATTATGGCTCGGCAATTATACTGTTATACCAGTCCTTAAGGAATGCTATTTAGGTCATAAAACTATAAACCCATGCCAAACTTCAAGCATATGTCAGAAAACTCTTGGCCTCACAAGAACTGTGAGGCAGAGAAACATCAATGAAATAAAATTAAAAACAATCACAAGTTCAGTTTCCGAATACAATACCTCGTGTAAAAAATCATTTCAACACAAATTCTTAAGCTGATAGGTGAAGATCATAGTAATGATTTTATATTATATTTCTCTAACATCATGTATGAGTGAAGGGTTTTTCACTCCCATACATGTGCAGAACCCAGCTAACCAAAGCATTGCACAACACTGACAAGCATAACAACTCGTGTAGTATAGCAGTATACCAACAAAAGAAAACATGATATTCACCTAATAGCTCCAGCAGCTGCTTTATGAAAATATGCATGTGAGTGCAATTGGTCTTGAAATTTAAGCATTTCCACGTAAGTACACAAAGTCATTTTTCTTAGGCAGTATGAATGAAAATCAAATTGGTCCTCCGTAATGTCAGCATAATGTTTCTCCACTGCTAAAAATTTCTTTAGTGCCCGTCCAAGATCACCCTCGCGGAAATAGCTTTCACCAGAGGCAAGCTCATACCTTCCAAAGATAGATGATACAACATGTGTTAAGAAATTAAACCACAATATCCATAGGATAGTGCAGAATATTAAAAAATCATTATATACCGACCACATGCACTGCATGTCGTGAAGGTTGTTGTGTTGATCCCCATCTTTTGTGAACAATACAGCAGTTTTTTCAGCTAAAGCCACCTTGGTATCAAGGGAATAGATAATTAAAGCAGGGTCAGAAAAGGCAAACAAGAAAACCATAGTTGTTAGAATCATAGATGAAAATAGTGCCGCAATAGCACGCAATATCGCTATTGTAGCGGGTAACGGCCATATGCCGCAACAGAACGCACGCAACGCTACTGTTTAATGTAGCGGCAGTAGCGGTCAACAATTTGCAATAGCGGATAGCGTGGTTAGCGGGGCAATTGCACGCTACAGTGAGAAAACAATGGAAAAGGAGGAATGGAGGGTATTATGGTCTACAACTTTAATTATAAGGGTAAAATAGATTTTTAAATCTGAACCTACTTGGGCTTTATCCATTCAGCCGCTAGGTTAATTATTTAACATGCCTTTCTTCTCTATTTCATTCATATTTTACCTTTGTTCTCTCTCTTCTACATTTTCTGCCTTCAATCTCTTTTCTACGGACAAGCCTTTCTATTTTCTGCCTTCAAGCTCTCTTCGGATTGATATTTAGCAACACTGATTTCCTCACCAACGATACTTAACGGGTACTGCTATCTTTTTAATGTTTTTAATATTTTATTTATATATTACAATTTTATTTTACATGAACAATCTGAATATGATATAATCAGTATATTACAGAATATATTATTCATTATATATAATTTTATGTTTTCTGATTTCTTTATGTTTTTAATATTTTTATTATTTTATTTATAATGGGCACAGCTATGTTTTAATGTTTTTAATATTTTGTTTATATATTATAATTTTATTTTACATGAACACTCTGAATATGATATAATTAGTATATTACAGAATATATTATTCATTATATATAACTTTAAAAGGACATGGCCAGAGTATTAAGAATTGGGGTATAATATAATAGCTTTAATGTTTCTAAAGTGAATGTAGATAAGTTATCTACATTCACTGCTAAAACGACGTCGTTTTGGGTTGAAAAATTAAAAAATTATAATGAAAAAAACTATTATAACCCTGAAATAACTTATAATTACAAAAATACTTTGATTTCCGCCTCAAAACGACGTCGTTTTGGACTCAATGTAGATAAGTTATCTACATTGAATGTAGAAAAAGCGAACCCATAAAATATGAAAACTCCATATAACATTACACGTATTTGATTTATTCAGCCCAAGGCCTCCACGTTTTTCCTTTGAGTATAATATAAATTTTTTAATTTTAATTAATTTTTTTATGGACTTCGTTATAGCGGTTATACCGCTACCCGCTATACCGCTATAGCATTTTTTAGCTTGGCCGCTATCGGCCGCTACCCGCTATTTAATAACTATGGTTAGAATCATAAATTTGCAATTCAAATCTCATGATTGATACGATTCTTCAAGTCAGCAATCCGTATCATGTTATGAATCAGAGATGGCTTTGAATGGTGCGTTATATGCATAAATCGGTGGGATTCCAAATAACTGATTGCACAATTTAATGTTTCATCAATTTTTTTCTTTTCTTTTTTGGTTTGCTTTCATCAATTCTCATAAAAGAAATTGAAAAGTCAAATAAGCTTAAATTGTTAAATGAAATGGAACTAAAGAAGCGCTACTGAATGCACCATATTTGATAATTCCACTGCCTGGTTTTTATTCTTGGAAATAGGAGATTCATATAGTCACTCACTCACGTATGCATGCTATATGGTTATTCAATTACTCATTTTTATTCTTTTGAGAAAGAGGTTTCACAAAGTCACTTGCTCACTCTATATGCACCATATAAGACTATATCATTGTTCTATTTTCATTCTTCTGAAACATATAGGCTTCACAGAGTCATTTTACATGACTCATTATTACTTGTGACTTATAATTTGTTTTGTGAGAATTATGATCAAGTTCTTTTGCTAAATCCTAGTTTAAAATTATTACATTGAGCATATATCTGAAGCTATTTTTCATTGTGTCTTTGAATCTTATGATTCACGATTCAAAAATTAGATTGGTAATTCACAATTTGATTGCGATTTGATAACCTTGGAGAAAACCCCTCAAATTACAATGCACATGTGGCTCACATTCAAATATAATTATATAACAGAAAGATAAACAAAAACCTGATCAGCCTGCAGCATGCGCTTAACACATTCACTATTAACATAACGATCAGCAAGATCCATACACCTAGCTTCATCTGCAAATGCAGCAGCAGCAGCCAAATCACCACCATGCTTCAGTATCCGACTCTGTTTTACAAAGACAAAGCAACAACATTCAATTTTGCAATTGATTGAAAGCAACAGTAATTCCAAATTCAGTTTCCACTTATTTTACCCATCCGTAGTCTCCCACACACACTTGGTCCACAAGTCACTTAATCATCTAACTTGCTTTAATATTTAATAGTAACATGTTTTTACCCTTGCATAGCAAAGCTTCTTTTGGAACACTGGATAAATTTCCCCAAATTCTGACATCCTCACATTGATATGATATGTAGTTAAACATGGCTTAAACCATGGCTATCAGAAGCATACCATTCAATCAGATTTTCAAGGATGAAAGTTCAGAATGAGTTAAGCAATGTGTTCTAAACGGCAAGGCCAAAAGGCAAAAAACTAATAGAAAAATGCTATTTAGCACAAAGGTTTCACACAGAAACACAAGAAATTGGACATGCCAGTAACTTATGAGAATAGGCTCGCCAGATGTGAAATTCTCACAATAACCAATGGTTTTACATATACTCTCCGCTTGGATTTCTGCGCAAATTATTTTTGCCATAGAAATTCTTGAAGTTAATCAACCCAAACCATAGAGTTAAGTGTCACTTAATTTGTAGTGACATCCTGTTAAGTGTCACTTAATTTGTAGTGACATTCTGTTAACTAGAATGCAATGCTTTATTATATAACAGGACTACAAAGAAATGAACCAATAACGGAACAAGAAGAGAAGTATTTACACAAAGCAAACCTTGACAGAATATAAATCAATGACAGTAGGTGTGTGTTCTATAGCCTCGTCGATTTTAGAAAGAGCAATTTCATATTGGCCGCGCCTGTCATAATGCTGCAACAGTACAAAGTCTTAGTGAAAGAAAAAGGGAGCGAATATAAAAATCATTAAGTATAGCCACCAACCTGAGCCAATAAAAACAAAGTCCACAAAAGAGTTGAAGGGGGTTCTTTTTCTACCCTGCAAAAAAGGCAAACAACAGTTAGTTATATAGTACAAGAAAATAATTCTTAAGTACCATGTTAATGGCTTCTCTTTGGTGCTCTGCTCATGGTTATACCAAGGGAATCTCAATTACTGATCTGAAAAGATATTGGAAAGGTTTGTTTGGCTTGCATTTTTCTTCTCTTTCTTCATTCAAGAGTTAACCAAGAGAGTTCCAAGATGACATTTACTCAATTCATGTGCTACAACACAAAAGTTAACAAGTAATTTTACCTCCCAGGATATTGACCTGACATCCTAATTGAATGCTCTAACCCAAGAATAAGATGTTCCAAAATGTCTGCCTGGACAAAGTTTAAGAAAAAGAAAAGGAAACAATCAGAACCCACAGAATCAGTAATTCTTGCCACCATATATACATAATGGCAGACAAAGCCAATCATAAGAAATTTGAAACTCTTCCAATAGTAGAAATGTAATTGATAAAACTGACCTTCCCAGGGTGATTGTACAAAGAAGAAAGATCAGAGAACAGAGATGGAACTCCCTAGACACAACAAAAGAAATCTCAGTTAATTTCGAAACAGTTAAACTAGGCATAATACAATATGAAAAGGAATTATTTACACCTTAGTGAGAAGAGGCCTAATATAATTATCAGCTGCTTCTCGAAATTTGTCACCTTGTAGAAAATCTAGCGGTATTCTCTGGCAAAAAAAAAAAGATTCAATGAAGAATGAATTTCATTCAAAAAAAGTTGTTCACTCCAGCATTACTACTCATTTGATAAGAAATATACCAGTGGAACACCAAGATTTTGTCTATACTGTATAATATTCTAAAAATGCATTCACATTGATCTAAGAACAAGTCACCAAAACCAGGATTATTTCTTTAGCAAGCATTTTATAAAGTAGCTATAGGGAAGAAAACTCCAAAAACACTATGATCACACTTACTATACTAATGGATGTTCGATCCAAGTTTTGCCAACATATAACTCAGTGAAATCTGAATATTAGTTCAGATTGATGAAAAATTTCTACACATCATCACAATATATAGACTAAGCTAAATAATAACTTTCTAAATAAAGCTCAATCTGCAGTAACTAATAATCTACTCTAGTAAAAAATAATTTACAATAATTACAAATGCAACCAATACGGGACTGTTACAACAATTTACTATTAAGCAAGAAACAATAAAATTCCTGCCTCCTAAGAAAATGAATGGCAACAAAGGAATCTTCATACTGCAAAACCCATTTCCAGAGAAAGCAAGTACAGATAATATCACTAGTGAATCAGTGATACAAAGACAAAGGCATATACCTTTAAACTAAAAGTATGAATAACTAAAACAATAAACTGCATTACCTTAGCAGCAGAAGACCACTTATATTGCTGCCCAAGTGTTTTGTATAAGGAATCTAACCGATCTATTTGATCAGGAGAGAACTGGCCATTTTCTGAATATAACCCAACACATTTCTGGAGACCTTCATAGTATCTGAATGGTAACATGAATCATGAACTATTATTTAGCTTCCACAAAATATAGTAGAAAAAATCAGCAACATCACAGAAAAAATCAAATTCAACCAAGATAGTTTATCAAACATAAGAGAGCCAAATAAAATAGAAATCAAGGCAATTGAACCAAAATTATCCCCTCATCCATTTACATTGGTGGCTAATGAAAATAAGTCAAATAACTTCTCTAGAGAATTAGGACAGGATGCGTTTATCCTAATCTAACTTGGAGTCGAACCCACCCTTCCATCTGGAAGATATTAGTTAAACAACAAATACACAAAATGCATAGGTACTCAATAAAATTTCCAGTATCAAGCTGAGACAAATCAACATCAAAAGTAAGTGCCAATATAAATGTACTAAAACTAGAGGGCCATTTATGAAGCTCCAGAAAACAGATAACTTTGAATATAACTACTTCCGAATTAAGAGGTATAGGATATCTTGAAACAAAATATGGAGTTCCGTTTTTCAACTATTTGGGTGTCCAAATTGGTTAACTGTAGCCCCAAGAAATACTTGGTTTCAGATATCAAGCTTCAGCATGAACTAGTCAATGGACTCTAAGATAGATAAAAGTATAGCCAAACATGGACCGGAAGAAAGTATCTAATGAGCAGTATAGAACTCAAATGATCTGATATGATCTGATGCACTTATACTTGACCCATTGTCCAACCAATTAATGGCTTCATTCAAGAAGTTTTGAGTCAAACAGAATTATAGCCCATTAAACACTGCTCGCATGTTCAAAGAAGCGGCAATCTGCAATCTAACAGATTACAGCAAAATCCAAGTCCAAATGAAGTAGAAGATTTGATTGTAATTTGTTTTTGAAAAAAAAAAAAGCAACAAATTTGAAATAATTTGAGATCTAAGATTTGGGATATGTTTTGAATGATTTAATTGTAGTTAATTATCTGTATTTTCAGAAACTTACTTTATTTTTAGGAGATAATTATCATTATATTTATCTTTTGAAATTTTCCTTATTTTTAGGATTTGAGATTTTGAATTGATTTGTAATTTTCTATAAAAGGCTGCTTAAGACCCCTATTGAAGAGTTTTTGATATTTTGATAATAGAAATTCAGAACGCAGAGTTTCTCTTTTATCAAATCCACTTTCTGTAGTCAAGCCAATTTTCTAGAGAAAAGAAGAAGCCTGAATTTTATGTTTTGGAGGATATCTTGTCCACCCATAGTTGTACTTACCCCTTCTCTGTAATAAAATTTCTTTATCGATCCAAAACAAATTTAAGTAAAGAAGTCTTTCAACAAGACTATCCCAAGAAACTTTTGAATAAATTATTCCTGTAACTTTTTAAACCCAAAAGAAAAATTGACGTCGAGAAAACCTGCCATAATAAGAGAATAAATATAATTTTCAAAATAATTATAAAAGAATGTTCAATTGATTCCACAGCATAGCATAAGAACAAAAATCAATAAAGATAAAAAGTTATGACAAAACAAAAATACCTATATGTAGGTAACATGTCATCAGAAAATGGTGGTGGGGGAGTAAAAGCAACAGTAATGATAAAAGTATAAATAAGAGCAACCTTAGACAACATGCATTCATCTCACCATTTGAAACACAATGATTCATTAAAAAGAATCTTTATATATTGAACAATTTTAATGAGAACCTAGAAGTTTGCGAAAAAAACCATTTAAGGATAAAAATAAATAAATAAAAATCAACAACAAAAACGGGGGAAAAACATAAAAAAGAACAACACCTAAAAAGACTAAGCAATTGAGACAATCCAACATAAAATATAAGTGGTCATTAAGATCACCTATAATTATCAGGATTCATAGAAAGTAATGCCCGGTACAATGTTTCGCCTTCTTCTAAACGACTAAGATTCACTAAAAGTGAAACCTCTTGTTCTTTATATGCAAGCTTATCAACCTAAAAAGACATAATCAGAAACAAGTTATATTATCATGCATAATAAGTTACATTATCAAATTACCCACGTAAATAAAAATACATACAATTTTCGATTCTTTTTTGTGCAACTCCTCTAGAGCTCTCTCAAGGAATCCACATTCCTCTAACAAAGAGATCTGGACAAAAATATTTAAACCATCGCAGGGGATAATAATATCAGCATTTAAAACATCAGAAAGATTTCATATTCTTGAACATCTATAAGTAGAACTGACAGCAAAAAGATTCACATTCAACAAACTGAAACTTGACTAGAGTCATATATTTACCTAAATCTTTTAATTTTTTATTCAAATTAATGAAAAAAATTCCATTTGCTTTATAAAGACATAGTGTATACCGGCTATCATCATTTAAAAAAGCATCACATAATTACCAAAGAGAATTTCAATAACAATAACCCTACAAAGGGTCTGATCATATTCTAATTCACAGAAGTTTCAAATTTAAAATGAACTCCGCTTAGGGATCAACCTGAGAATTAATAATGAGCATTATCATTTACTCCACCCGCTGTTTGGGCTTATACAATTATCAGATGCACAAGTAAGCCATTTTCCAGGTACATAATGCCTCAAAGAAGTCACCAATAGCAAGACTCTTCCTAGACCATGACGCTTCTCAGACTTATTTTGGAACAGGCCAATTTTTGGACCATGGATTGACCCAATCAGGCAGCCAGTTCAAAAAATTCCCAGTTCAGCCATCCCATAAAACAATCACCCAGAAAAAATCACAGACCAGCTGATTGGGTTTGACAGAAAAATGGTCAACATGTCCATACGGACCAGCCAGGGAATCAAGTCACTGGATTTCCAGTCCAGGTTTTACATTATTGGATTCATGCATAGACTTCAAAGTTACAAGACCCTCTCATACAGTTTTAAAGTAAACATAAACCTGTTATACACAAAATTTTGATATATGTAAAATTAAAAAGCAAGTAGACATCACATTTTTTACTTTGTATACAAAAAGCTAATTAAGGTTAATGTTACATCAAGCACTAAAGATGTGAATAAGCATTATGCATAAAACAATAAACAGCTGCAGACACACTGGCAGAGGAAAACCTTGAATAAAAGCATTTCCCCATGCTCACACCGTTCATTTTCTGGAGGATGATCATCTTCTAAAGTCCCCTCATATGCTTCCAAAATTTCAACTGCCTTGGACGTACTGTTACACATTCTAAAGATCAGTATTACAGTATACAAAAAAAAAGATCAGTATTACAAACTACCAAAAGAACAAAATTATGGTATTAGACTTCAGTAACTAAAGGAAGTCGAGGACCTTTTGGGTAAACATACCATGCAAATTATTCCTAAAAAACAAGTATTCTCCCACCAATTCCCCAAACTAAACACAACAACTTCATTTTTATCACTTTCTTTTTGAAAGAAAATTCTCTGATCCATTAACATTTTTTATACAAAACCATATTATAGAGTATCAAAATCAATTTTTGGACTGTGGCATCGTAACAAAAATGATCATTGAGTTCCAATACCAGATTCAGAAAATAAAATAAAAAAAAATGCAAACTCATATGACACTAGTGACTAATGAGAATACCACAATTAATGTTTGTCGACAATAAAAGCTTCAATGCTTATGCATTAACTTAGCAACAAGTAACGAGCTCAAGATCATATCTCAATGGAACCCATTAGGAGAAAAAAAGAAAGAGAGATAGTATCTGTCAACGAGCTAATAGCTGACATGGCACTAGTGAGTAGTCATAGTCTCTAAGATCAGGATTTACTTGATGCTGTGGGTTTAATTTTCTCCCTCCCCTTCCCTCCCACTATCTCAGGTCCTTAGGGCCACCAATATAACCTAAAAATAAGGAAACTCTTGCAAGGAACTGCACAACTGCCAATTACATTATTTTTATAGGAAAAAAAGAATGATATTAAAATGGGGGGAAGAAAGTACAATAGGGATGAGCTGCCAATTACACTTTTTCTATAGGAAAAATAATAATAATATTAAAAAGGGGAGAAGAAAGGACAATAAGGACGAACTACCAATTACATATATTGTATCAAGGGCATCAACAATACAGAAGAAACATTGGCAAACAAAAAAATTACAGTTCTAAAACCAAAATGTAACCAATAATTCAAATAAAGGCAGTTCAAGCTGTCACCAATTGGAAAAAAGTTTAATTCAATGTAAATCGAAATCATACTTAGAGTTCAAATGATGGGCAACAGAAAAGCCAATCCAATTCATGCGATGATTTGGCTTCAGAGTCAAAAGTCGCTGTCTTGTCTCAACAAAGCCAGTTAAATCTCGCATTTGAGCCTGTGAGTGAAGAGTAAAAAGCACCATAGCATGAGTAAAACAAATTGCATCATAAAAAAATTCACTGGAGTGTATATACATATGCATGCATATTTCATGAAAATGAAAGATACACAATACAGTAGAACAGCAGAACCTTTATTAGCTCCAGTTCATGGTGAGGACAAGATGATTTTGTATGAAAATAATAGCTATACTAATCTTTACAATAACGTAGGATGTTCCTAGTAAAAGTATTGGGATGTTAGAACACCTTCAAAGTCATCTTTTCAACTTATAAAAGTACCATTTTGTTTACTCAAACTTTGATCAGGGTATTAGCAGAAATCAAATAGAAGATTATTGAACATGTGCTCAAGCTTTCTCAAACATTTTCCTAACTGGCAAGACACAAGCACACACCTAGTGAATTTTGAACTCAAGATTCAACTATCCACATGGCTCTTACATGAGGAGAAGACACATTAGACCAAGAGGATGATAGGTCCCCTAAACATCTGTGAAAGGAAACAATATCATTTGATTACATTGTTAAATAGCTCAGCCAAGGCTCTCAAATTTATCCTTTATTTTAGAGTTAGACATCAGTCATAGCAAGCATGGGATACTTGGACAACTTTCACCTCTTTGGAAGACCAAACCTACATCAAAATCTTCCTTTTCGGTCCAAAGGAAGAAAGTGCAACTGACACATGAATGATCAGTCTGATAAGCTAGAACATTAATTAAATTTTTGGGTGCAAGTATATTTAAGTACTTTTATGCACATGCCAGCATAAAAGACTAACATCTAAGTCAAATCCATACATATATTGAAAGGCTTTCTGAGTTTATATCTACTATAGAGAAGCAAATAGAGGCAAAATGCATTTAAGACGCTACCTGTAAGAGTGATAGGTCACGCAGAATTTCAATATTATCAGGATCTATTTTCAGTGCATTTCGATAGCACTTGATTGCCTCCCTGTATTCTCTGTCTGACCGATAAAGGAGACCATATACATGCCAGCAAACATGACTTTTAAGGTCATTCTGCACCAGACCAAAGATAAACGTTGGATCATCTAAATGATTGTATGATTGAAAAATGATGTAAAATCAAAGACAACACATAAACCTTTAATCCTTGACGAACAAGTTCGTATGCTTCAGACTTACGATCCATGCAATTTAATGTCAAACCCTTCATCGATAAAGTTTCTATCATCCAGAAAAGGGAACAGACACATAATTACATAAATAATAAATATGACCAAAGAAGCAAAATATGCTGCGAATGAGAATGAATAGATAGAAAAGGGAGAAGTTGTATTAAAATAATAATAATAATAATAATATTGCATTTCTTGAATGACTCACTTAAACAACTAAGAAAGGTAATGAATGTTCCCTGGCCATAAGTAAAAGCTTAAAAACGAATTACCAAAAAAAAGTATACCTCCATGGTCTGGAAATTTTTTCAAAATGGCATCAGCTGCTTTGAGGCCCTTTTTATATTGTTTGGTTTCATATGATTTCTGCAGCAATAAGAACAAGGACAAATAACCTCAGTATAAAATTTAACCCCACCTCGAAAAGAAAAAATTATTTCACTGACATAAATATCCAAAAGACAAGATAATCAAAATTAATTACATAAGCTTGTAAGCAATAAATGAACTTTTTCAACCAGAGAAAACCAAATCTCGATATCAGGGCCAAATGATTAAGTCAGGCAACCTGCGGACACACATGTTGACAAACAAACAACCATATCCACGGATAAATTTTCAGTACTCATGTAGCACTAGGGACTCAGTGCTACGCCTACAAAAAATAGAACCATATGATTTACCTAACTCCATTTATTCCACCTACTTATTTATCTTTAATGCCACATGAGTCAAAATATTTCTAATTCTAATGAGGGAGTATATACTACAATAGTTCTGAAAATTTATTCCACATCCACAGTCATTTCGATATCAGTTCAAACTTCCTCTATCCTACAGTTGCAGGGAAAAACAAAGAATCCACAGAAGCCAATAAACTAAAACTCTAAAGTACCGAATTTCCCTTCCTTTCAACTTTCTCCCAGATTTTCAGCACCGTAACTAACATCACAAAATTACAACTACAATATTTAACCGAAGATCCTTGATTTATCTTTCCACATAATCTCAGTGTAACCAAACAAACATTGAGAAGCTGCTTACATAAGAACAGAGAACAGAATCTAGGGTTTTAAGATGGGGAAGCAATCGAGAGAGCATGAAACAGTGATTAAAGTTGGATCAAGGCGGCGATAAGCAAACAGAAAACTAAATAGAAAGAGAATCGAAAGCTTACAACAATAAGCTTGAAGAGATTGGCCTCCTTAGGTGGCAAGGAAGCACCCATTGTTGTTGGTGTTGCAGAGAGAGAGAGAGAGAGAGAGAGAAACTGAGTTGAGGGTTTATGGGAATGGTAGTGAAGTGAAAGAGATTAAGAGAGCGAGAGAGAGAGGTAAGAGAATGAATGATAGGGTAGCGAAGCGAGACAAGTGTGGCGTTTTGTGAGCTGCAATTGAAAAGCAACCCTACTTACTACTGCAAAACAAAGGAAAGTAAAGTGTGTGCGCGCTTACGTGTGTCAGTTTAGTGTGTGAGTTTTCTTCTCAGCTCTGTGAACCAAACCATGAAATTACCGTTTACTTTCATTAATACCCGACTGAAAATCCAATGAAAACAACATCCACTCAATTATGATACTTGTTTTAGATTTATTTATTTATTTAATTTAATTTGAATTCATGTTATCATTTATGATATGATACAAAGTTGAAAATTTCTACGAGACTGTGGAGGAAAATATGATCAGTGGTTATGAACTTTTTTTTTTTTGGGTACTAAATCAGTTGTTATGAGCTACTGAAAACTCAGTGTGAAATTAGAAATATAGAACTCATTTAATTGCATCTATTTTTCACCTGTTTTTTTATTTTTTAATGTCACATAAATTTTATGTATTTTTAAATTTTAGTAAGAAAATATTATTTCATTGAAGAGATGGTAAAGGGAAAATTGCCTAAACCAAACATAGTACCTGAAATTTAAATTTATAATACACTTTGTTGAATACTAATGTAGATGAATACTAATGTAGATACTATTCTATGTTTAGTTATTATATATATATATAAAGTTTAGTGAGTGTACAGTGACTGGATATAAAATTTGGTCCAGTGTACTATGTTCTCCCGGGAGAACACAGTTATAGTAAATATTATAACTATATTTTTTCGAGAGAACACCATTATAATATTTAGTGCACTATGTCCTCGCGGAGAACATAATACATGGGACGGTTCAGTCACTTAATTTTTATTTTTCCATATATATATATATATATATATATATATATATATATATATATATATATATATATATATATATATTGGGGGATAAGATTAACTTACGCCGGTATAAGAATAATAATTCTTACTCCAAATTTTAACCGTTAATTTTCGCGTATTTAACCGTTAAGATATATGTATATATATATACAAAGAGTTTAATTTCTCTCATTTATATATCCTTAATATTTTTTCCTTAATTTCAAAATTAATATGTGTTTCTAATTAACACAAATTTAAGCAAAGCAACATTTATATTAATACACATTTTAAATTATTTTTTATCAAACTAAATTTGATCTTAAACATATTTATCTTTGTATAGGCTAATTGATTCCGCGGCGAATCACTTTTTAAATGATTTTTTTTTCAAAATATTCCTTAATAAAAAATGAAATAAAGTTGTGACTTTATCTTAATTTATAAGATACCTTTGATTTATTTATTAGTTTTATACTTTTATTTGAATGCCATTTATTTTCAATTTTTTATACTTGTTCTTTTTTAAAACAAATTTAAGCAAGGCAACAATTATATTATAACTCATTTTAAATTTTTTAATCAAATTAAAATTAACCTTAAACATAATCATATTTATACAAGTTAACTGGTTTCATTGCGTATTACTCTTTAAATTTTTTTTGTATAATCCTTAATTCTTATTATTTTGACTGCCTAAATATAAGTAAAAATTAAATACACACTCTACCAAAAAAAATATTAAATACACAAATACGTTTGATCTTTTACCTTTAACCTTTCTCCCCGGGCAATGGCGGCGGCTTTGCGTCTCTTATTCACAACATCTTCTCCGTTTCACCACACAAAGGTAACTTCACGTATTTTTTTCTTTCTTTCTTTTGTTTTACTGCTTTTTGACATTTGTTTCATTCTACGATTTGCAATTGTGACTTGTTTATTGAGGGGTATATTCCAAACCAAATTGCTTAGAATCTTGAACTAGGAGTCCAAACCAAACACTTCGCTAGTGTTTGGTTGGGGAGTTTTCAAAATTATCTTAGGAAAGTGTATGTGGCATTGTGATTTCTCTAGAAGGAAATCTTTAATTTTATCTATCAAACTAGGTTGCCTAGTTAAATTGGATTGCATGTAAAAAATGAGATAATACACTGTTGATGAATCCATCTAAGAATGTGGTATTTTTGTTCATAAACGGGATAAAAAAAAATTGGAAAGAAAATGGTGACAAGTTCGAACATTCCCATCTAAATCTTATTTTAAACCAAACACACAATAAGATTTTTAACCCAATATTCTCAGTAATATTTTGCGATACCAAACAACTTTTTTTAAATTTTTCTACCAAAATTACTTTCCTACACTTTTTGTTGTAATTACATTTTCCTAATAAACAAAAATATCTCCTAAACCAAACACTACTCGGACATGTTACATATTAATAATAGCACTCTCTTCATGTAACATGTCCCATTGTGTCAGGGATCCAGTAGTTTGTTACTAGATTCAATACTGAATGGAGAGAAGATTAGAGTTTTGGGCCAGAGGTAGGTAAAGGGTCCAACTATTTTGGACCAAGACCTTAGGCATGAGTGTTGTTGTTGTAATCTTCTCAACCAATTAAATTTTCATTTTTATGTATAGCTTTTAGAGTTGAAACTCTACGTTATTATGCTACAGGAAAAGACAGAAGGTTCTAAGGTGTTAATTAATGGACAAAAGAAAGTTAAGTTTCATTTCAGATTTCAGTCATTCACTAGAGACCAAATTTTCGTTGGTCCCGTAATAAATACTTAAGTAAAAAAATAATAATATACATGACATTAATCATAAAAAAATATGATAAATAATATTAAGTGAATTAGTTTTTTTTTATAGTGAGTATACGATATTGCAAGAATATTGATATTAGAGAGATACAATATAAAATCATTGAAGGCTTATCACTTATCAACTTGAGCTCTTTGCCGAAATAATACTATTGAAGGCTCATCATCACTTATCAACTTAGTTTTTAGATAAAATAGTTATTTATCAATTGAAAATATTTATAAAAAAGAACCACATATTTTTAAGATTTTTTTATGTAAAATAGATAAAAGTGGACTCATGCATCATCAATAATAAAGAAAGTAATAAGATAAATCGCATTAGATGGATTTTTTTATATTTTCAATAAGTGGTCAGTACTTTTTATAAAGGGAATCTATGGATAAAACACTGTCCAGATGACGAGATCATTTTCAGTACATTTATAGTAGGTACATTTGTCATTCAACAAGTGACATCTGAATAAAAAAATATTTTCCTTTTCTTTTCGTACAAGCATCACATATATTCTTCAATTTCTATTAGCCAATTACACTGAGTGAATAATACAGCAGTAATACCATAAATATTTTCTTAGATAGCATCGTAGTTGGAGAAAATCTTCGGTATTACTATCGTACTAAGTAGTGGGTATGAATCTAATTCAAAATAAAATTATAAATTATATATTTCAAAAAATACATGTAAATACTATTAAAATTGTTTTTCTCGGTCTCTTCAAGAAATATGTCAACACAAATGTTATATCCCTATTAGTCGTTGTAAGTACTACAATAATATATTAGATTTTTAGCCATGGCAGAGCTTTGCAGGTTTTGAAATTATGTTATCCATTCGTTTTCAAGATTTTTTTTTTTTTTTGGTTATTATTATTATTGCATTGAAATTCTGTTATATCTTTCCAGCTCTTGGCATGGAATTCTTGGGTAAGAAGAAGCACCAAGACGAGGACAAGACCTTTGGAATACTGGAAAGGTGAAAGACTGGTGTACGGTCGCATTCATGAGAGTAAGTGTCAACATCTGCAATATAACAACATAGATTGTGTCTTGAAGATTAGTGTTTTAACTTCTACTTATTTTTCTGACTGATGTATCCATCCAATAGGGTTAAAAAAAATTATGAGTGAAGGTTTGGCCACTTTCATTACGTTGAAGCCAATGTCTCCAATCTCCAATTCTTTATAGAGTGATTAGAGTTGTTAAAATGGGCTGACCCGGCTCAATGGGTTACAAAATGAGAAATAAAAACAAAATATTTTAGTTTCGATTTTTCTTCACAACAAATTTGTACTAACATCAACAAACAATCAGAATCACTTGCTACCAAGTGAGTAAGATATTTGTACCAAACAATGTCAGCACAGCCTAACAATATAAAAATGGCAGCGATGTGAGAAGATTAGGGACTTAGGCTTAGAGAAAGAAGAAAGACGATGACAACATATGTGAGTTTTGTCTATTTTTGTATATTATATTTTGTATTTTTTTAAAAAAAGAATCAACTCACAAGCTGGTCTGTTTAACTCGTGAGTTGACTCATTTTTGTTCAAACTGCCTCGAATCAAGTTGACAACTCATTTTTATCAACCTAATTCGACTCATTTTTTACGAATTATGACCCAACCCGACTATTTTTGCAACCCTAAAAGTGATGGTAAGCCAAATATGACACGACTATTTTTGCAACCCTAAAAGTGATGGTAAGCCAAATATGAAGGTGTCTTATCAATAAGGCGCATAAAGCACATTCACACTTTAAATTGTCACCACTCACCATCAATGGAATAAAAAATGTTTTTGCATTTTCTCTTTTAAATGGATTGCTTGCATTATTATTTCACTTTTCTAGAAGCTCTATAATTTCTCATCCCAAAAGAATGAAAAAGGGACCACTATGTTCTTTAAAGAGGCTATAACGTGATGATATCTAGTTGTGGTTGTGTTACCGCTTGATCATGTGCAATTTGTCTGGTCATATTCTGTACTCACGTGCTCCCCTCATTTGCATGTAACCAGTTTTATACGCTACATTGTTAAGCTATCTTCAATCTTAATTAGTGATTGATTATTATTAGAATTTGATGGAAAGTTTGCTTCTAGAAAGATTCAAAATGCCAGCGTGTGCGCTGCATAATCACATTTACTCTTCAATTTTTGAATTATTCAACGGAAACTGATATTAAAATAAACCTCTTGAAAAAAAAGAAATTTACAAATGAAATTATCACCTTGTACTTTGTGCTAAATTTTTTCATAGAAGTTTGGATTTTTTTAGATTTCTTGTTTCGGCCAAGCAGACAATTGATCAAAAACAAAATTAAAAAAGAAAAGTCTGCTTGGTGAGAACCGGCGAATTTATATTTAAAAGAAAAATAAATAAAAGAAAAGTATGCAA